GGGATCAAACACCGAAAGGAGGAGAATTGTGTTCGCTTTGAGACAAACTTTAGTGGAAGGGACCTGAAGACACCACAGCGGCACCGCCCGCTCCGTTTGCCAACCACAGCCCTGTTTCAGCCAGTTTTGTTCCCGGTACAAATGTACAATTTCAGGCCGCAAAGGGGAGGGGAGGGGGGGGAAGAAAATGCTCATTTACCACTTGGTGTAAATTCAGGGGTCTCCCGTTGTAATTACATCTGCTACGAGGCAAGGAGGCTCTGTAAACTTTATTGCGACTGTTCTGTGTCGATTGCCTACACCTCAACTGGGTTTTTTTGGAAGTCTGGAAAACGGTTCATGCATAACGTTATTGCCTCTCGTGGCTTAAGACCGCCCCGTGCAATGGTACACACCTACCATCAGTGAAGCCATTTAAAATGGACTGAAAATGGGTTAAAGGATGCAGGATCTCCCTTTAGGGCTATCAACTCAGGAATTCTTATCTCAATTATGAAATGTTGTGATGAAGTTCTTTCCCCAAACCCTGAAGACGACAGTTTTTCTTACTCCAGATCTGGCATTTCTAGAGAGAGAAAGAGAAGAGCGTTAGGCGGTTGGGAGGTTTGTTTCATTTTCTTTTTTTGTTTTTTTTAAAAAAAAAAAAAAAGCTGCCAGGAGCCCCACAGATTCCTGAGGGACACAAGCAGGACCCGGGAAGGGCCAAAGGCAGCCCCAGGCCTCAGCCCCAGCTCTTCACAAGGAAGATGGTGCCCAGGTGGAGCCAAGGCAGCTGCACCGCAGACACGGATGCCCCGCACGCCAAAGCCTCCCAGGACCGCAGGGGGCTGGGAAGGTCAAACTGGTATTTCACGCTTGCGTGCAAAGGCTTTCACTGGGTTATGTCGCCTCATGCTGCCGAGGCGACGCCCCGGCCTGAGCTGGCAGCCAGACTCCATGGGACCAACAGGACGAGCGGCTGCTGGCTCTGCTCAGGGGGACCCGCGCTGCTGCGGCGTGTGGAAAACACAGAAACACCAACTTACTTTCGTCGTCACTGTCTGGTGAGTCCTGGAAAGAAGAAGAAACTTTAAGTGGAGCAGACTGAGCTCGAAGGCACGTTTCCCCCTGCCCCCCAACCCACGGAACGAGCTCCCCGCCGTTGGGCCTCGCTGGCCAGAGCCCAGACGTTTAATGGTGACGCTCAGCGGTGCCCTTTAAGCTTTTCACAGCGCTCAAGAGGGAGCGCAAGTTTGACTCGAACCAGCAGCAACGAAGGCGCAGGGCGCCGAGCCAGCCCCACACGTATTTACTGCAAAGAACTTACATCATCTGCCCCATCTACTTCTGGCAAGTCTACGTCGTCATCTCCGCCCATGTTGTTCATCATCTGTTCCAGAGAGATAATAACCACGTTACAGGGTGAAGCCAACCACAGTCTCCACGTGAACTAGGGGAGCACTGTAAAAATCTAAAAATAGCTTAAAATTGTTGTAACCAACAGCCACCGGTTGCTTTGATAAATCAGCTGCACCCATGCAGAAATTACAAGGTGAGCACGCAAAAAAAAATAAACTAATTGCCCTGCAAACCAACCAGTGCACCCAGTCAGCGCCGGCAGCTCCGAGGGCACAGACACTCGTTCCGTACCTGACAGCAAACACAAACCAGCCACGAGGAAACGGCTCTGCCTCCGCTGCCAGCCCCTGCCCGCAGCCCAGGGAACCCAAACTGCCAGGTACTCGTCTCCCCGTACCTCAGAAAAGCGATCAAAATTGGACATGTCTTCATCTGAGTCATCTTCCCAGTCTTTCCAGTTGTTGAAGTCCACACTGAGCCAGTTGAGCTGCACATGAAGACAAGAAGCGATTTAAGGACAAGCGAGTGACAAGGTGTCTCTGCTGGAGAAGGGAGGGTACAGCAAGATCTGCCGTTCTGACCAGAAACACGGCAAGCGACCCACTAACGCGACGTCACTTAAACATGACCCGAATATTAAACCAGATTAAAAACCAGGGGAGGCACCGGGCAGCGCTGCCCTGGCCATCAGGAGCCCAGACCCACCTTCGCCCTCTCTTTTGTTAACCTCGGCCACGCCTGACCAGACTCTCCTTTTCGTAAACAACACAAGATAGATCTGTCTGTTCTTTTATGCTTTGATTCCTGAAAAAGAGCAAAGATCTGTCAGTGTGATCACCAGGAACTGCTTATATTCAACTCGCTTGTCCTAAGCTATTCTTTGTCCCCAAAAAACCCACCCTGAGATGCTTCCAGGGATCCGAGTTTCACAGACACTTAGTCTGAGGAACAGTTTGCCCACAACCCTGAAACAACCTCCAGAACAAGCAGTGTTGTTCAAGCACTAAGAACAGGAGAGCAGAGTCAAGAGGATACTCACATTTGGATCAATATTATTAAAAAGGTCAATTTCGTTTAAATGTTTAAAGTTATCGCTTCCTCCAAGACAACTGTTAAGAGAAAAAACACGTTTGTGTTGAGCACAAAACATCTTCTAGAACAAATATGCCCCATTAACAGAACTTACTGCTCTTAAGACATCATCTAACCAGTATCAGCGTTGCCTTCAGGCACCCCCGTCCCTCCCTAGTGCAGCCAAGGCCCCAGGTGCTCACCTGAACGTAAGTTTGGATTTTTCAAAATTTACATTAACATCTTTACTGTCTTCAACGCAAAATTCAACAAAGACATAGTCCCTCCGGTCGTACCACTTCGCAGAAGCAGGCTGCCTGTGAACAGAGCATTTGAGAGAAGTTCAAATCGAGTTTCATATCCTTCATCAACACTGAAAGAACTTTACAACTCGCCCTTCCCTGATGCCAGAAACACAACACCGGGTTCCTTATGTTCCTCCTGATACACAACTTGAACAGTTTTGATTTTTTTTACTGCATTTAGAAAAGTTCAACTAAAAGACTTCCTCCTGTTCTTAGAAGCTGCATTACCAGCTTATTGCTAGTAATCTTTGAAAAGTGCTTAAGGCTGAAAAAAGATGGAAGAATAAAGAGATGCGATGCATTTGGGGCACATTCGGGGCGAGGCGAGTCCGGCCAATGCCCCGAGAGCTCGTGCTGCTGTTCCCTCAAAACCTGAGGCTGAAATGTGTTACCACAAATCAAAATTAAGACAAACTTTTCAAGATGAGCCACTACAATGGCAAAATTTCAGTCACGTCTGACAGCTACGCAGACAAGACTTCATTCCACATCACCCAGAGTTAAAACCCCAAAGCACAACCAGCAGGCCCCGCTCTCCTGGACACGGAGCTGTGAGAAAATGGGACCGTTTGACAGATTTTTCTATCAGCAAGACCCAGCTGAAGTCAGCAGAGGTAGAGGCGCTGCAGAATCCCCGCTCTTGCATCCAGACTGCGGCTCCCGCGCTCCCCGGCGTCCTTCCACCTCCCCGCACCCCCCGCACCAACCAACAGCCCTCCCGGGGCACCAGGAACCGCCGCGGAGCCACCGCTGGGCTGGGCTGAGCCACCCCGGGTCCCCGCTGCCTCCGGCCACTCGGGCCGAGCCCGCAGCCTGTCCCAGGGGAAGGCAAACGGCTGCTCCCCCGCCCCGGGTGCCATCCCAGTGCTGGGGTTCCGCAGCAGGGACAACCCGCAGGACCCGCACGAGTGGGACTGAAGCGACGCTCCGAGCCCAATGGTCACTGACCACCAGGTTCACTGTGACTACGGCCATGGGAAGGTAAAACACGTGAACGTCCCCATCGGGGCGCGACAGAACGGCTCCGCTCCACACACCGGGCAGCGGGCGCTCGGTCTCAGCGCCACAGCCCAGGAACCTGGCAGCAATTAACTGCAGAGCACTGATTACAGTGACCGTTGCTAAACTTTCAGATTTTGACTCACCTGATCATCAATCAGTTCAATTCTTGGCATAGAACTGACACGCTTGGTGGCGACTCACCGTGGCTGTGCCGCTCCCTCGCCCCGTGGCTGCGGAACCGAGCCAGGAGCCAGCCCGGAGCCCCCCCGTGCCACCAGCACCCAGTTTGGCAGCGCAGACGCAGGTGCCGGCCCAAGGAAGGGCCAGTACGGCGGCAGAGATGGCCACGGCTGCTCTTCCAGCATTGGCACCGTTTCACGTGCAGAAAACCTCGGGTCAGAGGCCAGTAACGGAGCGTTTAGCTTCCAAGAGCACAAACCCAAGTGGTTTTTGAATGCAACTTCTAGTTTCAAGCAAGGCACGTCCCAGCGGGTGAAAACCTGACACCTTCCCTTTTAGCAGCATTTTTAGGAAGTGCTGAGGCATCTACTTATTCAGTTTAAGTACACTGGCAGAGCAGCAATTTTCTTACTATGGTGTTTTTAATTCCTTATTGGACTCAAGTTTCCTTTCTAGTAGGGAACAAAAGACTCAGAGGCAAAAAAGAGGATGAGAAACAACCTGCTCTGTTCCCTCCGTGTGCCTCTGCATCTGTCAGCTGCGTGGCAGCTCTTTCTCACGCCGCTGGAAGACAAAATCCCGCTGCACGGGACTCAGTGCCTCACCAGACGCGCTGTTACCAGAACAGAAACCCCAGTGTCCGGGCACAGGATGCTGCGGGGGCTCCCACTGAACCGCGTTAACGCTTTGCGGCCGTTTGGTGCCAGCGGGGACGTCTCCAGCCGTCCCAGGGCGCCGCACGCGCTCCTCAGCCTTCGAGCTCGACTTCAGCCACGACCTCACCTCCCTGCCCAGATCGGGGTTCTGAGGCACCACAGCCTCTCACAGCGCTTCCACAGATCTCGCTGCACTGTCCTAGAGCTAAAGGAAACGCGTGTGCACCCGCTGCAGAGGGGAACTGGAGTCCGAGGGAGATTTACTAGAGCGTAATTCCCGTTTCTGACACTGGCTGTAGGTGCCTCCCAGGGGTTTATCCTCACCGCCCTGCAGGTGCCGGCCCTGCGCTGGAGCTGCCTCTCATCCCGTTATCTGTTGTTCAGATCTCTGCCCTTCCATCGGTTGCCTGTGAAGTGCTTTAGTCAGGACTTACCATCCAAACCAGTAACCCCGGACACGCTGGAACTGCCCAAGTCAGAGGCGAGGCAGAAGCTGCAGCTGATTTGCGTCGGCCCACAGGGAGATTCCTCGGGGAAAACCGCATGCGTGGAGGCCCACGGCGAAGCGCACGTGCTGTGGGCACTCCAGGGACGGTTCCCTGCGCCCACAGAAAACCTCCCGTTTCCTCACGGGCCCTGGGAAGCGCCGCCAGGACTTGTAAGCTTGGCCCCTTGTCCCAGGCATCCTCCTCCCTGCTCAGCCCAACTCACCCCAGGGGACTTGTGCCAACAGCATGGATCGAGCACCTGCTTCGGTTACGCATCGTCCCACGTCCTGGCGGGGTTGGGACTTCTTGGAGACAGAGAAGTTAATTTCGATGTGCTGTGCCCTGAGCAGGCCTCGAGCAGGTGCAGCCCCCGAGTTCCACATTCAGCAGCAATTTCTCCGGTCAACCCGACGCCTGCTGCCCCCCCTCACTGTTCTGGTGACCTCAACAGCCACAGCCACCCCGCACCTGCGCCCAACGGGCTCCTCCAGTCACCGCGTTGAGGACAATCGTGACAACGGCGTCACGGATCGGGTTTTAGAAGCTTCCCCGCGGCGATGGGCGACACAGAGGCTCAGCTTTCCTGCTCTGTCCAGCCCCGGGGACTGGGGGGTTGTCCGCAGCGCCAGGTGCCCCCATCTCCTGCGTCCCCGCGGGGCAGGAGCAGCTTCTCGCCGGCTGCGCTCCGCGTCCGTTTGTGCCTCGGTGCGAGTCAAGGAGTTTCCAAACCTGCCCCTCGTGCGTCCTCGTGCGTGGCTGCACCCACTGCTGTTTGCTGGAGGGATCCCGACAGTCCCTGCAGCTTGAGGCTGCCGCGCGAGCTGTCCACTGAACAAGATTTTCACCCCCAGACAGCAGTAAGAAATCTGCTTTACATAATTAGCTCTGCTTTCGTTTTTATACCCTGGAAAGGCTGGTTGTTTTTTTTTTTAAATTCAACTAGTTTCAGACTAGAGACAATTATAAGTGGGATGCAGCAGCACTACAGTTTCAAGATGATGTATTCTGCAAAAATCAAATGAAAAACTCCAACTTTATGACGTCCTTCTCACTTTCAGTCTCGCTGGGATGAAGCAGCCCCCGCTCGGTCTCAGAACGGCCGCGCCGAGGCAAACGCCTCCCCAGGGAAAAGGGGGCAAAAAGTCCCCAGTCACAGTGGCTGTCACCGAGCTCCCCCCGATCCCCGGGCAAACCGCCCTGCCCGGCAGAGAAAATCCGCCGAGAGGCGCGACCGCCCTCGGCCACCGAAGCCAGACACGTGAAACCCACCTGGCAGCGGCCCCGGGAGCGCCGCGCCCCCGG